TCCAGACTAACAGCAATGTGGCTGACTCTTAACCGCCTTCTGGACAATTAGGAATGGACAATAAATGCTGGCCCAGCTAGCAATGCTGTCATCCCATGATTGAATTTTAAAAAATGAATTTAAAGGTACCTCAGAATCTGCACTAACATCTTATGTGGGACCTTATCAAAAACCTTCTTGGAATCCATCCACTGGTTCTCCCTCATCTATTCTGCTAGGTACATCCTCAAAGAAATCCAAGTGATTAATTCAATGTGATTTTCTCTTCATATACCCATGCTTAACATTCCAAGCTTTAACACTTTTATAATAGTCTCTAGCATTTTCCCCACTACTGTTAGATTAACCTTATCTGCTGGTGTTGCCACTTTCAGGGAGCTATATATCCCAAGATCCCACTGTATGCCAATGTTCCCAAGGTTCCAACCATTTACAGCTATACTTTCCTCTGGCATTTGACCTCCCAAAATGCATCACCTCAGACTTGTCCAGATCACTCCATCTGCCAGGTCTCCATCCAACTTTCCAGCTGATCTATCCCACTACATCCTTTGATATCGTTCCTCACTATCCACAACTCCTCCAATATTCCTACCACCTTCAAGCTTACTAATCAGACCACTGACATTTTCACCCAAATCATTTATATATATTACAAACAAAGAGGTCTCAGCACGGAGCCTTGCAGAGAACCACTGGTCACAGACCTCCAGTCAGAAATACACACCACCAAAGCCAACCTCAGTCTTCCATTTTGTCAATTTTGTATCCAACTTGCCAACTCACCACGGATTCCATGTGGTTTGATGTTATGGGCCAACCTTGTCAAATGCTTTACTAAAAGTCCATGTAGACAACATCGACGGTCTTAACCTCATGAATTATCTTTTCGCTTCCTCAAAAAACTCAGTCAGGTTTCAGAGCTAAGACGTCCTTGCTTAAGCCATGCTGACTATCCATAATAATTCCATTCTTTTCCAAATGCAAGTAAATCCTGTCCCTAAGAAACTTTGTCAATAAATTTCCCAACACTGGTTTAAGGCTCACTGGCCTGTAATTTCCTGGATTATCCCTGTTGCCCTTCTTGAACAAATGAACATTAGCTATTCTCCAGTCTTCTGGGACCTCACCAATGACTACAGAGGATACAAAGATAAATCGGTCAAGGCCCCAGTAATTTCCCCCATTGCCTCATTCAGTATGCTGGGATCGATCCCAACAGGCTGTGGGGACTCACCTACATTAATATTTTCCAACACCACCTGCTTCTTGATTTTAATATGCCCTAAAGTATTAACAGACCCCTTATCATCCATGCCTTTCTCCTTGGTGAATAGGGACCTGGATTCATACAGTGCAGAAAAGGCCCTTCCGCCCATCGAGTTTGCACCAATAATAAAGATGCGCTAATCCCAATTTCCTGCACTTGTTCTATATCCTTGAATGTTATGATATTTGACATACTCCTCCAAATCTCCTGAAAATTTTAATGTTTCCAGCCTCCACTACCTTCACAGGCGGTGCATTCCAGATTCCCACCACCCTCTGAGTGAAAATGTTTTTTTCCTAAATCCCCTCTGAATCTGTTGTCCTTTACCCTAAAGCTACGCTCTCGCATGATTGATCACTCAACGAAGGAGAATAGCTGCTCTCTATTCACCTTGTCCATACCCCTCCATAAACTTATACGCCTCAATCATACCCCACTTCAGCCTTCTCTGCTCCGAAGAAAACAACCTGAGCCTATCTAGTCTCTCTTTATAGCTCAATTTCTCCATCCCAGGCAACATCCTGGTGAACCCCCTCTAGTGCTATCACATCCTTCCTGTAGTGAGGTAACCAGAACTGCACACAGTACTCCACCTGCAGCCTGAACAACACTCTGTACAGCTCTGTTTACCTCCTTGCTATCATACTCAATGCCACGACCGATGAAAGCAAGTGTCCCATATACCTTAATTATCTTATTCACGCGCTCTGCCTACTTCAGGGATCTGTGAATAATAACCCCAAGATTCCTGCGTTCCTCTGAGCTACTCAGTGTCCTGCCATTCATTAAAACACTCCCTCAGCTTGTTTCTTCTTCCAGAGTGCATCACCTTGGGTTAAATATCATGTGCCACTGGTCTGCCCACCTGAACAACCCTTCCATAGTTTCCTGTAACCAACAACCTTCTCCTTTGGTATTCATCACTCTACCATTCTTTACCACTGTCTGCAAATTTCCTTAACATTCCCATATTCTATATAATTTACATATATAACAAATAATAAATGTCCCAGTACTGATCCTTGTGGTACACAGCTGGATACCAGCCTCCAGTTATTCAAACAGCTCAATACAAAAGCTTAAAAACACATGTCAACAGGTTCAAGAACAGCTCCCTCCCCACTATTATAAGACTTCTGAATGAACCCCACAAATTTCAAATATAAATGTTGATCTTGCTTTTCGTACACCTTCTTTGTAGCCATAACTTGGTATTCCTTGCCCTGTTCAATCACCCTATGATCTATGTCTTTGATGTTATGATCTACTGTACTGCAAAATAAAACTTTTCACTGTACTCACGTACACGTGACAATAATAAATCAAATCACTACTCTTTGTGATCTATTACTAAGCCAGTTTCTGATCCATCTCACCAAGTTTCATTCAATTCTACATGCTTTAACCTTCTAGTCTCCAATGTGGGACGTCGTCAAAAGCGTTGCTAAAATCAATATAAACTATACCAACTGAACTTCCGTCACCCAATTCATCTAACAACACACATAAATTCCCTCCATTCTCCTTAAGTGGGCCTACCCTTTCCCTGGTTACTCTCTGGTTCCTAATATAGGTGTAAAATGCCTTGGAATTCTCCTTACTCCTACTTGCCAAAGACATTTCATGGTCATTTCTATGCCTAATTTCTTTTCTCAGTTCTTTTCTGATTCCATTATATGCAAGGGCCTTGATTGATTTCTGTCTCCTTAACTTTCTATATGCTTCCTTTTCCTTTTTAACTAAAGGCTTTGACAAGGTGCCGCACAGGAGGCTGCTGAGTAAGATAAGGGCCCATGCTGTTAGAGGCAAGGTGCTAGCATGGATAGAAGATTGGCTGTCTGGCAGAAAGCAGACAGTGGGGATAAAAGGGTCTTTCTCAGGATGGCAGCTGGTGACAAGTGGTGTTCCACGAGGGTCAGTGCTGGGACCACAACTTTTCACTGTATACAGTAATGATCTAGATGAAGGAACTGAGGGCATTCTGGCTAAGTTTTCGGACGATTCAAAGATAGATGGAGGGACAGGTAGTATTGAGGATGTGGGGAGGCTGCAGTAGGATTTGGACAGGATAGGAGAGTGGGCAGAGAAGTGGCAGATGGAGTACAAATGTGGGAAAGTGTGTGGTCATGCACTTTGGTAAGAAGAATCGAGGTATGGACTATTTTCTAAATGGGGAGAAAATTCAGGAATCTCAAGTGCAGAGAGACTTGGGGGTTCTAGTCCAGGATTCTCTCAAACTAAACTTGCAAGTTGAGTCAGTAGTTAGGAAGGCAAATGCAACTTTGGCATTTATTTTGAAACGACTTGAATATAAAAGTAGGGAAGTACTTCTGAGACTCTAAGGCTCTGGTCAGGCCACATTTGGAGTATCGTGCACAGTTGTGGACCCCATATCTCAGGAAAGATGTACTGGCCCTGGAGAGGGTTCAGAGGAGATTCACGAGAATGGCCCCAGGAATGAAAAGCTTGACATATGAGGAAGGTTTGAGGACTCTGGGTCTATACTCGATGGAGTTTAGAAGGATTCGGGGGGATCTAATTGAAACTTACAGATACTGAATAGCCTGGACAGAGTGGATGTTGGGAAGATGTTTCCATTGGTATGAGAGACTAGGACCCAAAAGGCACAGCCTTAGAGTAAAGGGAAGACCTTTTAGAACGGAGAGAAGGAGAAACTTAAAGGTTGAGAGAACTAGGGCTTTTCTCTTGAGAACGACGAAGGATGAGAGGTGACTTGATAGAGGTGTACAAAATGATCAGAGGTATAGATAGAGTGGACAGCCAGAAACTCTTTCCTAGGGTGGACGTCGCTATTACGAGGGGGCATAGTTTTAACGAGAGTGGAGGTAGATAGCAGGGAGACGTCAGAGGTAGGTTCTTTACTCAGAGTGGTAGGAGCGTGGAATGCATTGCCGGAGAGGGTAGTGGAGTCGGCCTCATTAGTGGCATTTAAGCAGCTATTAGAAAGGTATATGGATGATTATATAAGGTAGGGGTGGAGGTTAGACAGACCTTAGGATTAGGGTAAAAGTTCAGTACAACATCGTGGGCCGAAGGGCCTGTGGTGTTCTAAGTCCTAGTCCTAAGTGTTCTAAGTCCTAGTCCTAAGTG